AAATCTGGTAAGGCCAATTCTTTACCACAGATCCCTTTGTGTTCACCACTTTTCTCACCATTCCAGTTCTAATTACTACCCGGTTATCCTTCCAAGCAAGATCCCAATGCTGCCTTACGGTTGTTGATGCTACCTATACCAACCGAGAATTTATACGCACAACCTTTGTGTAATAGAACTTTCTGTAACAACCGCTGTTACACATAGTGCCAACTTCTCCACAATAGACCTCTATCCTTCTTTTGCCACATTTTACAAGATGAAGGTAAGACAATATTGCATGGAGGCAGGCTTTTTCAATCTTATTATGATTTTCAGTCTTAACTTCAATTTCTAGTTGTTCAATAAAGCTACTCAGGTTTGGATAATTTTTGATTTTCATGTCAGTTTCAGAATAATTGTCTGAATTTTTAAAATTACTTTTATCTAGAGTTATCTACAATAATCACAAAGTTCAAGATCAATTATAATCTAGCCATTAATTATATAAAAAAAAAAAAAAAAAAGCTTACTGGTAACCAAAAAGATTTCAATTTGCAAGTTCTAGTTACATCTTTCTGTTGCATTTGCCTTCACCATCTCCCTGATCTTTTTGAGTTCCCAATGTATACAAGTGGTCTGCGAGTAATTACTTCTGAAGCTGATTGTAACAGCCTTATAAATGTATTTTTTTCTTCAGTAACACCAGTTTCTTTATATTGTTATTTGGTTTTCTTTTGCTTCTGATACTTCTTTAGTTGTATTTTTCTTTTGGTTAATTGCGGCATACCAGGTAGTTCACAATGACATTATGAGTAGCAAGTATGAACACAATAAAGCATGAAGTAAAGCTTAAAAGCTTATTCAAGACAGAAATAGGATCTGTCTTTGTGACTAGTGTCACTTACAACAGTATAATATTCTAAAGAAAAGATTATTATAGATCTGACAATTTTTTATATTCTTTTTTGTCCGATCATAAGCGTAGATATTTGATCACATGATTTTTTAGTTTTTTTTAGGCTGGCCAAATCTTTGCCTTTTACTAATAACTCTTATTGAAAATAGTCAACTTTTAAAAGCTTTTAGTATTGTTAAAACTAAACTAACAAGTAAATAGTTTTTGTAACTTTGTTCTTTTTATTATTCTTTATGTTTTTACAAAAAAAAATTTATAATTAACTATATTTTTTGTTTTTATTAAGAATTTTCAATAAATTGTTTTTTATTTGCTAGTTTAAGATGTCCCGCACTATACTTTATATAAGCAAACATAGTCTCTAATATCTCGATACATTTGGTCTCAATAGTATTGTTCTGATATTTTATAATATATAGTATCAGTTTCTAAGTGTCTAGCAGTAAGGTGACTATGCATTATATAAAGGATAAGTTCAACTTTAGTCTACTTGATAACTTGAATAGGCTTATCAGAGTTTTTTCGATTCTTTTTATATGTATTTTATTCCGTAATTCATAATATCTTGATTGTTTAATAATTGTTTGTTGTTCATTTTTTGTAAGCTTAGGAAGTAATAAGTCTGATTTTAAATATTTTACAAGATGTTGATATTGATCTAAATTTATATAAAGGAAGATAAGAAAGAGGCATGTGTTTGTATTGGCAATTTTGAAAAGGTATCAACATTAGAAAGGGTTTATCTGGGTTTGTGAATAATAGTAAAGTGATAAGGCTGTAGTTTTATTATCTATTGTCCTAGATATCCTTTCGATTAAGAAGATTTTAACTATTTAAAAGCAGAGTGGTTAGTAATTAAAGTAAAATAGTTAGTTCTAAAATATTTATAGAAATGCTCAATAGCCTATATTATTGTAGCACATTCTAGTTCTGTAGCTCTATAGTTTACTTTTTCTTTCTTTAGGCTTTTACTTACATAAGCAATAGGATATTCTTTTTAATTATTTAATATTTGACTTAAAGTAGCTCCAAATCCTAAATACAAGGTATTGGTAGCTAATACAAATTCTTTCTTTTAGTTAGAATAGATGAAAATAGGGATAGTAATAAGTCATTGTTTCAATTTATTAAAAACTTTTTGACATTGTGGACTCCATTAGTAGAGTTAATCTTTATGCAATAATTGATTTAAAGAATAGTCAATAGAAGAGAAGTTTTGGATAAACCTTCTATAGTATCTAGCAAGTTTTAGAAAAGATCAGAGTTGCGTAGTATTCTGTGGGGTTGTATGTTTTATATAGTAGCTATTTTATCTGGGTCTGGAGAGATTCTTTTTTCTTCTATGGTATGTTCTAAGAAAGGTAATCTTTTTATCTAAAAATTACATTTCTCAATATTTAGTTTTAATCTAGCATTTCTAATTCTAGTGAATACTTCATATAGATGTTTAATATGATCTTTAAAAGTCTGAGAAAATATATTGGTATCGTCAAGGTAGACAACTACATATTTATATATAATATCTTTATAAACTTGATTTATTAATCGTTGAAAAGTTGCAGAAGTATTGCATAATCTAAATAGCATCACATTGAACTCGTAAGTACTATATCTTGTAATAAAAGCGGTCTTTTCATGATCATTTGAGTAAACTTTAACTTGCCAATATCCACTCATTAAATTCAGAGTGGAGAAATATTTGGCTCTAGCTAGTGAATCCAGCATTTTATCGATTCTCAGAAGAGGGTATTGATCTTTTTTGATGATAGCATTTAGTTTTTGGTAATTAACACAAAATCTTTTCTTTTTATTTTTCTTAATAATGAGTACAACAGGGGAAGTCCAGGGGCTAAAAGATTCTCATATTAAATTATTATCTAATATTTGTTGCACTTCTTTATTTATAAATATTTGTTCAGTAAGTGGTACTATATATGGTCAAGAACTTACAGGAGGTACATCTTCTGTAAAGATTCAATGAGTTACAAGGTCAGTTTTTCCTAATTGCATTATATCTTTTGCAAAGAGATTAGCAAACTCTACAAGTAGTTGCTTAAATTGGACTCCTTGATTTGGGCTTAGAGGTCTGATTTTTGGGGTTATCTTAAGAGTATAAATTTCACAAACATGGCTATTTCTATAATAATTTGAATTAGTAAGTAGTTTTTGATCTTGCTTAGGATAGTTTAAAAATTTTGGGTTTTATTACAAATATCTTTGGGCAAAAAAGATTCTTTATACAAGTTTCTCATTTGGTAATAGAAATTTTCAAGTTAATCAACTTTTGCATATAGGGCTATAATAGTTTGGGTTTGTTATTTGAGGGTCTGAACTTGTCTTTAGAGAAAGGCAATAAGTTGGGCTTGTTGTTGAACTTGTTCTTGAAGTAAGTTAATTACTTCTTGTTGGTTTGAAGATATAGATTCAGATTCTACTTCAACTTTCAGATGAGCTTCATTATAACATTCTTACAACAGGCTTTGTATTGTTTAAGTTCTGTTTTTGATTTGGCTATTAAACAATTCTGGCAAAGTCCTACAGTTCTTTAGAAATTTTTTTGCAAATTTTTCATAGCTTTTCTTTGGTCAAAATCTGGATGACTTATGTCAAAGGATTCTGCTAGAATTCTTTGTAGTTCTGTTTCTTTAGTCTTAGTTAATTAGGCTTGAGAGGCTCTTATAACAAGATTAATATCATCATAAGTGTAGTCCTGGTTGGAACGATCAGCAGCAAGGGGTTCAAGAGTATAGAGGATGTATTTATTACTTTTACCTAATTGTATTTGGGCTAAATGGAATATTCTGCTTTGATTTAAATCATAAGCATGTCCAGCATTTTGAGTAGACTCAGTGTAATCTTGATCTCGAGTCTAAAGGTTTAGGTTAGAGTTTCATTCCACATCTTTAGCAGACTTATAAGCATACAAATATTCAAGATTACAAAACCAAGAATTCTCTAAGATAATATCTTTCTAAATCTAATACATTTTTCTTTGTATAATTGGTATTTTAAAAGAGTTTCTTTTTCTTTACCATTAGTAAAATACTTAATACTTTGAAGATCATCTTGATCAAGCTCATGATGAAAATCTATCCAACATGCTTTACAAACTAAGATTTGTTCTAGCAGTCTAATATCTTCAGACTTTTGAGGTACTTTACAATTGCAACAATAGTTTACTCAACAAATAGAGTAATGGGCTTGTCAAAGTCTTTCAATTTTAGTTAGAAAACATCCACACATATAGCATTGGTTATCCAAAATAATGGTATTAAGAGGGCAATACTTTCCAATATGATCATACTTATTGCATCGATAGCATTGGTTATTAGGGCAGTCCTTATAAAAGTGTCTTGGTTGTAAACAGGTTTGGCAAAAGGTTCATTTAGAGGTTTGCTTTAGACAATACATAGCAAGGTATCTATATTGGTAATATCTATAATATTGGTTGTTTGAGCAATCAGCGAAAAGATGAGTAGTCGAAAAACAATTTCTACATTTTAGTTTATTACTAGAGTCAAGTCTGGATCTGAAGGTAAAGGCAATTTGATGATTGGCTTTAAACATATAGGCTTCTTGAGAGCTAAGATATTCTTGTTTGAATTGTTGTAATTCTTTTTTATTAGTAATCGTAGATTGAGTAGGTAGTGGTTGGTTATTTTTATAAGTAGTTGGAACATGAATCTTTTTCTTATTCTACTTAAGAGTATAAGCTTTGTTTTTTCAATTATAACTAGCTTCTACTTTTTGTGACCAGTTATTATCTAAAAGTAATGAATATAATATAGCAGTCATTACTTCAACATCAAGAGGAATAACAGTGCCTTTAACTTCTACAGACAAATTTCTAATTATTTCAAGAGGTCAAACAGAGGATCCAGTAGCAGATATGATAAAGCTGGTCAAAAGAGCTTTTATTTTTAATCTGAGTTCCTTAATAGTTTGATAAGAGATTATGCTAATTGCAACACCACTATCAATTACAGCTTGATAAAATCTTTCTTTAAGTTTAATATTGCATTTTACAGGGGTAGTATAAAAAGGTATCTGTGTTTTAATTTTAGCTTCTTTATCTAAATATCTAGCTAGGGCTTCTCGAATAGATTCATTAACCAAAAATGTTTTAAATTGTTTATAAGTATAATCATTAGCAATATCAATAGTATAAATCAAGGGTAAAGAGTAGAAGAATGGCTTCTGGATCGGTTAGAAGAAAGATAGTCCCTATTATTTTTTGATCTATTTTGAGATTGACTTTAACTTCTCGATCGATTATATCTAGAATGACTAGAAGTTCAGTCTCTGGATCTGTTTCTATCTCTAGATCAAGATCAGTCATAAGATTGATAATTCAAGAAACTATATTAATTACGAGAATAGGCACAAGAGCTTCTATTTTTATCTTCTTTTCTAATACGGCTCTTTCTAATAAAATGTTTTTTATTTCCACAATAATAGCATATAGCACTACTACTATTATTATTACTTTGTTATAAAGAACTTTTATTGTTGTTTGTATAATAGACAGGAGTAGGAGAAGTTTTTTTTTTTTTTTTTTTTTAATATTAAGGTGACCACTTAGGTCTCTGGCACTTAGCTTTATTCAGATAAATATGATATTACATCAATTTCATGAGGATACAACTAGCCACACGTGTACTTT